CTGAAATAAAACTGAAGATAAGTTGAATTTATACTACAATACAATATAATTACATTTGTGTAAATATAAAAATGAGTAATTGAACAGAAAAATTGAATTGAATAATCCGGATAGTTTGGATAATCCATGAAATCTGGATATGCTCATTACTAGAAAAAATCATGGCAGCCACCTACTTCATACAACCTTTCAGTAATTTCAACAAGAAAATTATAATTAAAATGATCATGTATTACGCGTTTCTCCAGATTAATATATTCAAATAAACTAGAAGGTGCATTTTTTAAGATCTATATATTATGGAGCTCTATAAAATTGATTTGTGCTTTAGTTAACAAGCCATTTATTAAATGGAAAAATGCTCTCAAATATTTTGCAATGCACTCATATGCTGATTATCATATTTTATCAACTTTAAAAACAGGAATGTTTGCTAAAATAATAGAAAATAATACATTTGATGTAGCTACACAAGTAGATTTTTCTAGAAAAACTTATGTTATCGAAAATCGCTTAAAATAAATTCTAATAATAGAAACAATAATTGTTTGTATTCGTCAAGAGTTACATATGAGAGGTCACGACGATAGGGGGTCCATTTTTAACTGTGAAAAGGATAATTATGGCGGTAACTTAGGATCTTTGTTAAGATTTTGAGCTTTAAGTGGTGATTTGATATAGGTAACTTCTTTGATGAATTCATCGAGGAAATCTCTTTAAATTAATCTCCAAGTTCATAATTAAATTATATAAATATGTGGCTCTCTTATTCAAAATAGTATTAAAGTGAATCAATCAAAATTCTTTATTATTTTAGCAAATGAAACTTGTGATATATTTCATATTGAACAAATATTTCTATGTGAATGATATATTAATAACAGTTGTATCAGAGAAGACTTTTTAGAATTAGTTCCTATTTATGATGCTAGTAGAAAAAGTATGGCTAATACAATTTTTCGAGAAATAGGAAAACTAGGACTTCAAACAGAAAATTGAATTAGTCAAGGTTACAATGAGGCAACTGCGATGAGTGGCTTGTATAATGGTGTCAAAAAATATATTAGAGATGAAATACCACTTGCACTTTATGTTCACTTCGTGATTCACTTGCTTAATTTAGCAATCAGAAAATCTTGTATTATTCCTGAAATACGATATTGTATTAGATCAGCATTTACAATTATAAATTTCTTTCAAAAATCTCAAATGAGATCTGAGGTTTTAAAAGAATGTATAAAAAAACATATTCCAAGTACCCAACAAAGTACTCTAATAAAAATATGTGAAATATGTTGGGTAAATCGTTGCAAAAGTATATTGAGATTTAAAGATCTATACGAAGTTATAGCGTATGCATAACATAATATTGAAACTTATCATAATATCGAAACATCAAAAATCGCTTAAAATACCATCATAAACTCATTGTTCGTCTTAATTTATCATAGCAATATATGTTATAGATACATTTTTTACATTTACATTGCCATTATGTAATGCATTATATAAAGTAAATTGTGACTTATCTGAAAATTGTGAATATTTTGTAAATTTTATAGAAATTTTATCTTTTATTATTATAAATACCGATAAAGAATTTCTAAGTTTGTTTTTAGAATTTGAAAAAAAAATTGAATTTATCAAATGAAACTATTTAAATACCTCGAATAAATGGGTGCCAATTGTCTTAGTAGTTATATGTCAGCTGAAATCACTGGAGCAGTAGTAACTTAACGATATTTATACCATTCATTGATTATTTTAAAAAGAACGATTTTCAAAACATAATGAAATTATTTCTGCGCTACAAAAGTTGATTCCAAATTTCCTCAATAAATTTAAACCTAGTTATAATGATTTAGAAAAAATTATATTTTTTTATAAACATCTCTTATCCAGTTATGATACATTTGAAGCAGAAATAAAAGTGTATACAGAATAATGGAAAAAAATTCCTCAAAATGAATATCCGAATTCTGCTATTGATACGTTGAATAAAGTATCCGTTAATTTTTTTCAAAATATATGGTGCTTAATGACAATATTCGTAACTTAACCAGTATCAAAAGCGTCATTAGAAAGATTCTTTTCGACATTGAAAAGATTGAAGACGTACTTGAGAAATAGTAAAAGCGAAAGTCGACTAACAAGATTAACTCTGATGTTAATTAATTACAAGCATTACAATAAACACTGAAGAAGTGATAAATTATTTTGTTAAACTGCCCCAAAGAGTATCGCCCATTTGCGCCAAAATAAAAAAGGTAAAGTTATGTTTTTTCGAACAGCTGATTTTCCACAAATTTACCTGTGCAAACATTTTAAATTAACGACTTAGTTAATTTTTATATTTTAAAGATGTCATATCTATAACGTATAGTAAAGTTATTTTTATAAGTCTATAGATTTTAGAGCTTTGTATATTATTACGTCAAAAGATAAACTAACAAGTTTTATATCGGATTTATTATGATGTACGATATTATCGTACTCCGTTATCGGATAAAGAGGTATGGTTTTTCGACAAAAGAATGATCGCAGTGTGATTTCATCAGACATTCGTTACACTAAATAATATTCACAAATTTATTTATTATTTGAATTATAAATTGTAAGAATGGAGTTCGCGACAAGCACAAGAAGGAAGAAAATTGTTGTTGAAAATGGTCATTAGTATATTTTAACTATTAACTAATTTCGATTTGTATTTATAAAAAAAATGTGTATTATACAGCTATTATTGATTATTATTTTAAAATATGTTATATATAGTTAATATATATTAGTTAAAATATTAACTATGATTTAAATAAAATAGTATTAATTATTATTTAATTGGTTATTATTTGAGAAAAAAATATATTAATTTATTATAATTATACCAGGTAAATTTGGCGCAAATGGGTAACCCCTACCCCAAAAACTAGATTTAGTTCTTAGAACAAATTTATTTATTCTAATATTAAAAAATTATTAAAAGAAAATTAATTTATAACCCCCGAAATTAGTTCTTATGTAATCCACTGAGTAACATCATTTCGGGGATGTGGGAGAATGTATTTGCAGCTGCTTTATTTTCCTCTCAGTACATGCAAAACTATTATTATGATAATATTAAAATATATCCTGTTGAAACTTCTGCAGAAAGCTAGTAAAGTTAAATAATATTTTATTAGTCTGCGATTATTGAAATAGTTCTTGTTATTAATTTGTGTAATATACGTACTACAAAGAATACAACGCGCACCGAAAATAAATTATTTTATTTCGGTAAATTAACTTTCAATATTTTTGCAACATTTTCCGATATGGTAAATGATTAAATTTTTAGCTATCTAACTATATCGAATTTATATTATATTTAAATTATTGAAAGTTTGTTCTTATAATAAATAAAAAAATTTAAAATATTTTTATATAAATATCATGTTGTAGATTTTCAATCAAGGTAAGTTTAATTACACTTTAATTTTTAATTTTTTTTATGTTTTAAGTTATACATTTACACTGGTTCTAATGTTAATAATTCTATATTCCACTTATTCTGTAAATTATTTAATTTAGCTATATTAGAATTACAATTTTTGCTGTAATTTATATTCTTAATCTTCTTAAATAATAATTGTATCTATCAATGACAATGAACTTATTTATTTTACACTCTTCCATAAGTAACTTGTAACTTTTGTTTGATTAATTGTAAAGAATTTTACAATTGATTGCTCATTAATTTAAATATACAATAATGACCATGTTTCTTAAACCATATTTTTTTTTAACTGTAATTGGAGAAACTAAACCAGTTGTGTAATCTAAATAAACTTCATCTATAACTTATGATTAGATAAATATAAATATATTATTTAATTTTTAATTTTATCCGTGTAAGTTATGTACTGTCACTTTGCCAACCCTACAAATAAGCCATACAGGTATGATTTATCTTATGGGAATATTTTAGTGCTATAATTTAAATCACGTATCAATATGGGTGTGAAATATAATTTTGACTTTAGGTCAATAGAATACTATATAAAACTAATAGAAACACTTATAAACAGTGATTATCGATATTTTTCGGTGGATAACTATGCGTTTGAGAGAACCAATAGTTTTAAAAATGTAAAAGCTGCAATTACGAGCAATAACAACTGAAGCGCTGAAATTACCTGTCGTCTGCTCAATTCTGAAATAACCTTCTTTGCACTCATAAAATACTTTAAATCGAAACTATTCTCTATAGGTACAAAAATACGAATGTATATGCCTATTATAAGACCAATACTGACCTATGTTTGTGAAGTATGGCCGATGACAGACTGCAAACTGAACTAAAAATTAGATGTTTTTAGAATACATAGAATACAGTTCTAAGGAAAATATGTAGCCCAGTGCTGGATAATATAATAAATGGATGGTGAAAAAAAAAACGCGGCAACAAAGTAAATCTCTGGAGTAAAGGTAGTGAACTTGCAGCTCACGTCTTATTAAAAAAAAAAAAAATGAACTTATATTAGGAACGTATTATAATTTTTTTTTCTCCATACATTATTCAAAAAATATTTTATTGTATAGAATACATATAAGTAAACAAAAAAAATCAAACAATTTTTATTTAAATCAAAGTATAAAATTATCAAATGTATTTATAAACATTTTGGCTTTTGATTTCATGGTATTTATTCATATAGTTTCTGAATATATTCATGTAGGTCACCTCTGCATTAGAGTACCTTATATAATAAGCTGGACCAGTGGCATAACCAGAACTTTTAATGCCCGTGGCAAAATAATCCAATCGGGCCCTTAGTTTTATAAATTTGGAAAAAAGAGATATGAGGAATAGCCTACAAAAACTAACCACCTATAAAATTCTACCCTTTAAGGTTACAAACAATAAAAAGCATGTTTAGTGTAATATTATTTTTATAGTAAAATTGTAATAAACATTTTTTGGTTTAAAAAATATATACAAAGCAATACAAAAATTTAAATATTCAAAATTTCTTCTTTCTTGCTTTTGCTTCGGCAAACATATCGATTAAATTTTCAAAGTCAACTTCTCGGGCTGTTTCTTGTTCGATTGAAATTAATGCCAGGCCACTTAAACGATCTTGCATCATTGTACTCCTTAAGTATCCTTTAATAATATTTAGTTTCGAAAATGACCGTTCCGCGCTTGCAGATGTAACAGGAATTGTCAAAAATAATAAAAGAGCAGTACATACTTCTAGGAAACTGGCTGTTAAAGAATGATTTTTCACCATTAAAAGTTGAGCAAGATCTCTAGTTGAATTAAGTTGACTTATTTGATTTTTAAGAGTTGATCTTACAGCTAAAATTTTACTTGTAAATGTTTTTGATATGTCTTTATCATATTTGTTTACCAACTTCGTAGCTTCATTTAAAAGCTCTAAATCTGTGGCTGATGTAAGAAAAGATGGTTGTAAACAAGTGAAATTTAGCATTAATTCATGAAAACTTGAAAAACGTTTACTTATTTGATTTATTAATATATCCAACGTTCTATTAAAAATAGTTACACGAAATAAGCTTTCTGGACAAGTTAAACGCATATCAGTACATAGTTCATCGAAATATCTTTTTACAACTTTACGACGTTTGTTTTGAAACTCTGTAGAGATAGACCAACTTTTAGCAACTATATTTGCTTCTTCCAAGAGATCATTAAAATTACATCTATATTCTTTTAATTGTTCATAACAGTTTTTTAATAAATTGGATGCATTATCTAAATCAACTGACTTTGACTGGAGAATTTTAGAAGTTAGGTTTATAATTTGTAAAATTTTACATTGAAAAACTAAAGTGCAAATAAAATTATAATTTTCAATTTGTTTTTTAATCCCTCCAGCTTCATTTCGCTCATCTAACTTAGAGCTGCAAAGTATAACTTTTGTTAAAGCTTTTTGAATTTCAACAAATCTAATTTTAAGCGCAAAAACTGCTTCATAACGACCAGCCCATCTTGTGGGATTAAGTTTTTTTATTAATAATCCATTTTGACTGTTCGATTCCTTAATTAAATCTGATAATATACGCCATCTTACTATACTATGTCCAAAAAAAACAAAAACTCGTTGAACAACATCAAAAAAGATTTCCATTTCTGTTATTTCTTTCACAGCATCATTGACAACTAAATTTAAATTATGAGCAGAGCAATGGACATAAGCTGCGCTTGGCTCAATGTCTTTAATTCTTTTTTGTAGGCCATTATACATACCACTCATATTGGCAGCCCCGTCATAGCTCTGACCACGACACTTGGCGATAGACAATCCCTTTTTTTCAATATTCTGTAATATTAGTTCAGAAAGAGAAGAGGCAAATTGATTAACAACTTCATGAAATGCTAAAAAAGTTTCCTTAACACATACATTTTTTGGATTTCCGTATTCATCTTTTTCTATAACACAATAACGATAAATTTCACTTAACTGATCAACCTTTGAAATATCTTGCATTGTATCAATTATAATGAAAAAAAAAGGAGCTTCTTTAATATTAAGTATTAACTCGTCTTCGACTTTATTTGAAATTAACTGTATTAGTTCATTTTGAATTTTAGGGCTACAGTAGTTTACTTAATTATTACCTTGATTAATAACTTTTTCTAGTACTGGGTCGTATTTTGCAAGTAACTCAATAAAACAAATAAAATTGCCGTTTTCTCCTTTTCCACTACCGAGCTTTTCTCTGTGGCCGCAAAAAGGTAAACTTCGCATAGCTAATGTAAGAGTAATATTTAAAATTCTCTCTAAAACCTGACGCCAAAATAATTTTTCTTTTTTTATATTCTATTCTAGTTCTTCGTTTAATGTTTTATTTAAAAACCATTTTTCATATACTAAACAGGAAATGTAGTGAACGTGTGATTGCTCGTGTCTTTTAATACCATCTACTATGTGTTTCCAATCACAATATCCTGTAGTCCAAATTTCTTGAAAGCCAGTGGATGTGCGATCTCCAAATAGCCAGCATGACCTACAATACGCTTTTTGAAGTATAGTCGAATAACATAGCCACGAACGTTCGATTTTTAAACCAGATTTGGACACTGTAAAATAATACTTTTCAGAAAAAGATCTACCGTCTGAATTTTTAGCGAAAGGCTCTTTAGCTTTAGGTCTACTATGCCCATTTTCAATTATGAACCGTTTAGTTTGAGCATCTAAAACGATTTCTTTAAAATGTCCAATATCCGTCGGATCAGAAGAAGTTTCAATAATAATTTTAAAAACAATATCAAAAGATTCATTTTGATTCGTACCTTTATATGAACAACATGACAACATTTCTGGGGCAGATTCTTCATTTTTTTCACTATCTATAGAACTAAGTTCAACACTTTGTTCACTATTAACCTCGGTATTAACACTTTTAATTATTATTTCACTTTTATTTTCACGAGGAATGGTACTAGAAAAAAACTACTAATTTTAGGCAATTTTAATAATTTTTCTTGTTCTTCCGTTTTTTTCTTACGCTTTTCATACCCACTAGGTATTTTTTTCGACATGATTGATCACACAGAAGGCGAAAACAAAATCGGTCTACGATACGTCATTGACTAATAACAAAATAAAATATAAATTAAAAGAACATAGTGTAACAACGACTAAACGACGGTCACTTTTTCCTTGAATAGTTCTAATCTAATCTAGTATCTAAATATAAAATATAAATGTTACGTTCGGTTTCAAAGACAAGCGATTGCGATACGCTTCATTGTTATTTCCATTCTACAAATAACAATATCATTAAATGTATAATAATAATATTAATATCGACAATGTTGACGGACTGGTAAATAAAATAATCTATAAAAATAATCGTGATCAGTTATTAAATTTATTTTATTTTACAAGAATATACATATATTTTTAAACAGAATCGTATTTATAAATTTCACTAATGGTGATTTGTTTTTGAATGTACTATTTTTTTCTTGAAGGGCCCTCTAGAGTCGTGGGCCCGTGGCCCATTGCCCGTCATGCCACCTTATCGTTACGCCACTGAGCTGGACAGAAGAAATCTATAGAGCTAGGGCAGCAGGTATATTTTATATAATAATTATATTCTTTAGAAAAGTTTTTGATTCATTCAGTACCATATTTTTATATTTTTTGGGTCCAGTTAAAATTTTAATTCAATATGTGTGGTATTTGTATTATTGTATGACCATTTTATATAGGTTTTATTACGTAGTTATGGTAAATTAAATATTAATATGGTTGTTATCACTAATTATAATTATAATAATTGTAATAATAGTAATAATAATAATAATAATAATAATAATAATAATAATAATAATAATA